CACGCTCCAGCACCTCGATGTCCTTCTTGTAGTGAGGGGCCCAAAACTGAACACAGTACTCGAGGTGCGGCCTCACCAGTGCCGAGTACAGGGGCACTATCACCTCCCTGGTCCTGCTGGCCACACTATTCTTGATACAAGCCAGGATGCCATTGGCCTTCTTGGCCACCTGGGCACACTGCTGGCTCATGTTCAGCCGGCTGTCAACCAACACCCCCAGGTCCTTTTCCGCCAGGCAGCTCTCCAGCCACTCCTCCCCCAGCCTGTAGCATTGCATGGGGTTGTTGTGACCCAAGTGCAGGACCCAGCACTTTCCCTTGTTGAATCTCATGCAGTTGGTCCCGGCCCATCGGTCCAGCCTGTCCAGGTCCCTCTGTAGGGCCTTCCTACCCTCCAGCAGATCGACACTTCCACCCAACTTGGTGTCATCTGCAAACTTACTGATACTCTGATAGAGTTTCTCATTCTTTTGTTTTGCCCAGCATTCTATCTTAAAAAGGACACTGACTTCTTCAGGGAAGGATTGTATTTCATGTGGGCTTTCCAGATACTGCCCTGAATAACAAGTACAGAAAACGAGGCACTTGGAAGCTAGTGCTCGAGGTAAAAATAACTCATTAAACAATGCTGACCAAAAAGCCTCTCTTGTACTGCATTCTGCACAAGCTACAGCAGCAGCCTTGTTTTCCAGTATTGGCTGGAAACTAGCAAGGGATCTAGAAAAGAAAAACACCACATTCTCTATAGGCACTTACTCATAGCCACAGTGAATCCAGTATTTCTTCTCCTTTCCATTTATTCCCCTCCCCCCACCATAATGTTGTCTTTTAAAATGAGTAACTTTTTATTTATAGTGTCATCTGGCAAAGTTCTTCTCTGCAGCCTACTGCTTCGAAAAATCTATTTTCTATGCAGCTGAATTTTCATTTGTGCCTGTAAAACTGGGATCTATCTTCTCAAAAGAAACTCTTCCACAGACAAAGGGATTTTGGAGCCAGTAACTTAAAAATTGTCCTAAGTCTCCTTTCGCCATTTCATGAACATCTCCTTTGAAGTGATCCTTTTTGCACGTTGAGTAATTCTACTCCTTTTTGTACTAACTGACTACAAATACTTATGGTACACTCCTACCTATGTCCTGTTACTCTGAATATCAACAACAACACGTTAATTTTGACTGACTACCTCCACCGTATTCCCACTAGCAAAGCCAATTACTTCCCCAGATTTGTGGCAGCAAGTCATGTACAATATTTTATTATATCCTAGAGAAAGGAGAAAAACTTCTTTGGCCCACATTCATACTGCTAAACAAAAGAGAGCTTGAGACTAATCCCTGATGCTGAGATCAAATGTGATCAACTGGCTTCCATCCTTAAGGTTTAAGACTATGCCTTCCTATAGCAGATTAATCAAAGAGAAAGTTCCTTGAACAATCCAAAAAAAGGGTCTGGAAGCAAGCTAAAAATGCAGCATTGTGGGCTACCAAAACACTTCAGCTCAATCTATTATTTACCAGTAGGGACACGTTCACAGAGACTGTGTCTCTACAGATGGAGTGGGAAGACAGAAAAGATGCAAGAAAGATTGTTATGGCTTACAGAGATACCTCCTCTGAATAAATACTCAGACTATTTATTCTATAGCTGTCAGTCAAAAAGTAGCATTAGTTACCTAGTCTCCCCTGCAAAACAAACTTGTCCATGGTCTTCAGCATGAGTCTTTACCACCTAGTTCTAGAAATCCCTGCTCCAGAAAGTATCAAGGTATCAAGGATGCTGTGATAATATCTTAATTTAAAAAGACATATTTTAATTTTATTAGCCTTTTAAGAAAAGATATCTCTTGTGTTGACTGTCTCAGAAAATAGATCAATACAGAATACAACTCAAATGTCAAGAGGTTCTTTTAACTGAAGCAGCTTGAACATATGCTGTGGCTGTAATTCATAAGGATATCAGTCAAGCTTCTCTTACTAATTAACAGTGCCTCCTTCTTTGTAAAGTCTGTGGATGTATCTGAACTGCGAGCATGAATTAGACCTCCCTGCATATAAAATCAGGAAAGGGAAAGCTGCAATTGTCTGCTCTCCAGCATCCAAAAATATCTGCCAGGGGAAGCCCAGACAGTTGCATGGATATGACTGTGACCTGATACAAGTCTTTATCAATGTTTCAGCTAAAATTACTAAGATTGTTGCCTGCATCCCTTGCTTTATGTGTCGCTTTCTTACTGATTCATATTCTTTCCCATGTGTTTCAGAGATCATTAACTAGCTCTCAAAATTGTTCCCCAAACCCTGAACTGTAATCACAGCAGAATTACTAGCACAGTGTTCACCAGGATCCATCTGTGACGTGTTTAAGCCACAACACTCTACACTTAGGGTTGGTCCAAGGTATTTTATATATATGTACAAGCAAAATGAGATTAATTCCTGGTTACTAACAGCTTTGTAAAACTGTTTTGCAAAAATAGTGATGCTGACATCTGAATTTCATAAACAGTAAAGCTCCTAAACAAGCTAGGAGGGACAATCACAATCATCTGACTCTACTTTTGGCATAGTGCAGGTCCCCGAACACAACCAAGGCATACCCCTAGTACTCTTATCTTGCGATTGAAATATTACCATGCTTATAGTTCAACACCTCCCAGACTAAAGAACCTACAACTTCTCTTCAAGGTCTCTTCATACCTCCCTATGTACGTGCTCTCTATATATGTCCCTATATATGTACATATACCTCCCTATACCATAACAACAGATAGCTTTGGAAACTATATTCCACTTCTACATTTGCACAGGATGAAACACAATGTTTTGGTTCATGTGCAGAGCTCCTACACAGCAAAAAAATTATTATAGACAGCTCTAACAACTCATCAGAAAATGTGCAGATCCATTAATCTGACAGTACAGAGAATACATACCAGCAGGTTTTACAAAATGGCAGGACTATCAGAAGGGCTGTACGACAGTAACTGGAACAAGCCAGTTTCAAAAGCTTAGCATTATTTAATCTCTATATTATTACAGTTTGCAGGACTTAACTTTATTGAACTATGGGAAAGGATTTTTATCTATGGTTTCTCTTTTACAAAGTATAAAAGCCTGTTTGTGAACCAATGGCTGAAAGCAGCACTGTTTCCTTTTTCAAAGTGGAGCCAGTTAATCAAGAAGATAAAAGCAACTAAGAACAAACAGTACTTGAAATTTTCAATGGAACTGCCAGATTTATTGAGAATATTAACATAACTGTGAGTGTGTGACCTCTCAGACTTTGCAAAGGAACAGAATTGCGGATGATTTTTCTCTTTTCTTTCTGAATTTCACTGACGTTGTACATAACCACCCAGATGGGACACTAGCTGCGGTGCTGACACCTGCACTATACGGTGTCAATGCCCCCTCAGTCAGCAGTGAGACAGGCTGTCGCATCTCAACTTCTTACGTACATCAGAAGCACTGCTCAAGGAGGCTGACTGCCTGTAGCACCTTACAGACTCCCTTCTCCAACCTTGGCGTCACTACTATTCCTAGATGTGAAACTCCTCTGCATGGCTTCTAAAAACCTAAAGGAATCCATAATATCTTTTGCCACTACAATTTAGCTTTGGTCTGGTATACTTCCAACAGTAACCACCATCTGTGTCATTAAAGGACTGTTCTCTGGGCTTTTGACTATTACCCTGAGGAGATGCTATGCTTCCTCTTCTCCCCCTGTGCTGTCAGAACCACAAAAAATTCAATTCCATTCTTCCAGAAAAAGCAACAATTATGCATCTTTGCTTAAGCAAACTGCTAACAAACTTAATATGACAACACCAAAAAAAGAATGCTGCATGCTTTAAAATAATCTATATTGAATATCAAGGAAACAACGATCTAGAGAATACAGGATAAACTCCCAAAAGACATTAAAGCAAACTGCTTTAATTCAACATAGGTACTTGTTTTCTATCTACTTACTCAATAACTACCTGGTTATTCACTAGTCAATGCTTTTTCAGTTGCAATTCAATCAACAGTTTTCATTACCCCTACATTTTATATCAAGGCTTTTTATGATTACTGAAACCAAATCCATTTGTGAATTAAGGATCAGGGGGAAAGTACAACTCAATATAAAACAGAAAATCACCCTAGTGTTGCAATTGCAATGCACTCCTATATTTAACAAATTTCAACATCAGTCTGCATGTGTTATTCTCCCACATTAATATAATAAACTTCATTTCTAGATGTCTTCCCTTTCTTCTGTTACCTATTAAAATTTTTTGGCACCTTGAGTCTTCACAGTCCTGGTTACAGAATATTCTAGAAGGCAGACCATAATACTTGTCCACTTAAAGAAGGTTATACTTAATATTTAGTTATGATAACTGAAGTCACACACCTGTATATGAAGTTTATGCAAAAGCATAAAGCACTGGAAGGACTAGGAAGGATAGGCAGAATAGTGACAAAAATAAGAGTAGAGAATGGAGAAAGATAACAGATTGACCAGTTGTTACTATAAGAGAATTTCAAAACTATGCCTTGCACTTTGTTAAGGCAAGTGAGTGAACTGAAAAAGGCTTTCCAGGAGGGAGTGCTAGCAAGCACTGAAAAAGAGATGAAGAGAAAGGAATTCTGAAGAAGTCTGAATCAGAAGATGCAACTTAGTTCCCAGATGAACAAGGCAAGGAACTGCAGCTTCCTGTGGCTTGAGAAAGTTCCAGAAGCAGGTACTTCCACTCACGCTAAGGAGCATGGCTGACCTATGCTCCCACACGAACCGAAGGAGGGAGAGCTGCTCCTGGAAGCCTACAGCAAATATCTTCTCAAACCACACACTCAGGTGCCTCAGGTGGGATAAGATAAAGTCGTGTACATGCTTTGAATTTGTGAGCCCTGCATGTCGCCAGCAAATATTGAACTCTCCACCTCTCCTTTCAAGCAGATGCTTATATATTACAGAATGCTACTACTGCCCTTGGACTCCTTGATAAGGAAGTACTGCTGGGCTTGTTTAAAGACAGCAGTTGTAAACAGGAGATAAAGTCAAGAAATGCTTCATTCATAGGGTCAAAATAAGTGAACAAAACAATGCTGCCAGCAGAAAAGAGCACACAAAAAAGGTCTTGGTCAGGACAGGCTACTGAGGAACTCTGACAACTGTGAATAAAGAGTCATAATCTTTGACTACATTCAAGAACCGTTCTGATTCAAACAGCCTGTCTGGAAGTATAATGTAGAAGTTAATTCTTATATTTTTTGGAAACATGGTTAGATATATAAGGTACATAACCATGTGTATGATGATGGAAAACTGTAGAAGAAATTATCAAGAAAAGCAGAAATAAGTTTGCTTGTTTCTTCTTTTTATTGAAGCTGAGAAGATTCTGGAAACATTTTAGCTTAAAATCCTGAAAATCCAATTGTTTTGAGCTAGGTCAGTCCTGTCTGAAAACCCCCTTAAAAGCACAATACTTTTCATAGCAGTAGTCAGATTTTTCCACTAGCAAAAGATAATGTTTCCTCCACTAATAACAGTGTATCATCTAAATTCTGGGGAAAAAAAGGCTCAACAGTGTTTCAGAATATACCTGAATGTAGGACAAGCTAGGGCAGACTTCACTAACCCATAATAAAGTACAAGAAATATCTCACAGAGCTGCCCCTAGGACACAGAGCTCATTTGCATCATGAGTTTTCACTTAATGTATGTGTGCATCACAGTTCCACCTTACAAATCTTTACTATCCTTTGTAAATCCTGCATAAAATTTATGGGATAGTATCATGACTCATCCTGTGGCTTTAAGATACAGCCTGTGATTTTCAAAATGACCTATAGTCTTGCCCTTCTAAAAGAATACTGCAGTGTGTACCACAAACTTGGAAAAAATCAATATCCTACAGCACAAGAATTTCTCATAAAATCTACAATATTCAACTGCGAACAGATTTCCAGATCCATGAGGAATATTTTTCTACAGTGAAGCATAGAAGACATGATCCTGAACAAGAGCAGTACCCCCATATTGTACCTTAAGTGATTTAAAAGAGAACAAAGGAGACACGAACCTCTGCCTTCTCTGTCTGGCAGAAGAAATAAGAGAAAATTACTAGAACCTCTGTACTAAAGTACCATCCGTAAAGTCTTACCCCTTAAGTTTAATTCTGTTTTCAAGGTTTTTAAAAGCCCTTAGCTTTTTATCATTTAAATGTTTAAAATCCTACAGAATATATTACCTGTGATTGATTTATACCTTTGTATATTAAGGCTGCAAACACCAAGAAACAGTGATATGGTTTTCTTTAGTGTGCCACATTTTCTAATCAAACAGTCCCCCAAAGACGAGCTGAACAGCAAGTAAGTAAGATTCACATACAGGTGAAGAGTTGATGCTGGGTTAGTTAATGATGAGTTTCTACTTGTTGATTATAAACCCCACAGAAACTGGCATGTATCATTTCACAAACATGTTTTAAATTGCATTTTTATCCTCATGTTACTGTATTTGTCTGGAAAAGTCCATTACATAGCTGAGTATTCCTATCTTTCGTTAAGGGCTGTATTTATACCTACATAATTTTAAGACATTTCTAAAGTGATTTAAAATACATTGCTCCTGCATGGGTACTCATTAAAGAACTTCCTCATCTTTACCTGTATATTCTGATTCCAATTATGCTCATTAAACATTCCACATTTATCAGTAATGGCCCTATTCAGCAAAGCACTTCTCAGCACAGGACCAACTTAAAATAACTGTTATCTGGCTCCCAAGTTAGTAAGGTCACCTGAGTTTAATCTGTCTAAAAACTATTTGTGATACTGAAAGACATAATATATCTATCAAGAAGACTAGAGCACATTTTCTTGAAGTACACTGCTCATCTGAAAAAACACAACAGATGGGAGTAATACAACTTTTGCATTAAAGAAAACAGATTTTGCAGCTACAGTATGAACGCTCCTACTCAAGACATTCTCTTTTGCCCTCCTACCCCTAAATACACATGTTCCAGTTTTCCCACACATTTGGACCTTGTACTTACAGAAAATCCATTGAATCTGATACAAGTTTAATACCTGCTTCATGTATGCGTAGCACATGGTCTCTGCAACCCGCTTTCCTTCATCATAGCAGGCTCTTGGACCTATTGGATTCACATGGCCCCAGTAATCCTCATTTTGAGGGTGAACTTCAGGATCTATGGGGTAAAAAAACCACCTTAAATGATCTTCTATCAAAAAGGTGACTATATATAATGAAACTTTCAGTAGATCACTGGTGTTATACAGTTTAACAGCTTCTCTCTGAACTATGCATTTAAAAGATACTAAGTTTCAACATCATTCCTTAAAAGTGCATTCACTAGAACCACGAAAATGCCAGTTACGGAAGATGTGAGACTCTAGTACGATAACTGAGCACAGGCAAACAACAGCCATCACCTGCTTTCCCCTAAAAGAGTGTGTGAACAGAGGGTTAAATTCAACTCCTCTCTGCAAAGACAGACTACCTCAAGGGAACAAATAAGACTCTTATCTAATGCAATTCAGAGGAAATATAGGTTACGTAGGCAGCACTTTATACTGTATTTGGAAAAAAAGAAAGTAAAGTGTCTTCAAGTTTTATAAAATAAGAAACAAGGACAGAAAAATGGACAAAATGGAGAAGTACTGCATTTCTTAAAGAAGAAAGAGTAGAGCGATATACCACAATGTACTTGCTATGTTTCTTCTGTTTTGTCCTAAGCATTTTTAATAGCTATCACTGGGCACAAACAATCAGGTTAGACAATCCTTTGGTTTGATCCAGTACAGAAGCTCTTGATTACTAAATAAGCCAATCAGCCAAAATTCTCCTAGCTGTGTTATGTGTCCATGTGTTTGCTCCATATGCTTGAAACAATACAATCATTTTGTTACATTTCCCCACTTTGCTATCTGTGCTGCCTTACCCTCCCTACTGGGTTTGAAGTTTGCATACATTACTACTAAACTTTCAACTGTTACAGTTTATTTTTGAAACAACGTTGATGGTCAGTTCTGATAAGCTCTCCGGTTTTTATGCTGCTCACTGGTATGATTACAAATGAATTCCTGCTACATGAGATCCAGAGGGAAATGACAAATGCAGAGAGGTTTTACACAATTACAAAAGCATATATAGCATTCTTAAAAGGGCCCCAGAAGGTGCTGTGATCTGGAAGGCCACTTCAGTTTCTGTCTCCCTTCTGGCAGAAGCAGCCTTACAAAGCACTTGGAAGCTCTCTATACAACACTCCTTTGAGAACTCCTGTGGAGACAGCTAACAGATATTTTCTGACTTTATTTTCTGTCCTTTATTTTTCAGCAAAATGACTTTTGTCTGTTTATCAGAGTATGGTATGAGTAGACTCTCTCCACTGGCTTTACTGACACAACAAAGCCTGATAATGGGAGTTTCAAGCTTTCCACTTCAGCAGGTGGACTGTAGCAGAGCAATAAGGCTCCAAAACTTGGGGTTTTTTTTTGCCTGTTGGTCCCCTGTTTCAGAAGGGAGTTTGTTCAATTACAGCAGAGTTGTTGGGGCTACCGTTTCTCTCTGTGGAGCCTGACCGTGGATAATCAAAAGCAAGGGAGGCAGTAGGAATGCTGCACATGCTCAGGCCGCTTATTTGGTTGCCCGGTAGTCTTACCGGATATCTTGCTTGGGTATTTACTTTGAATCTTCTTGACTGAAGTTATTCCACCAAAAGTGTACTCCTTGAGATATGTTTTTATGGCCTTCCTCACTTTTTCCTCACAAAGCTTTGCATCTTGTTACAGAGATGAGTATTTTTGTTTGCTGCTTTGTTTTTTAAAGCCTAGACTCTCACAACTACTAACGTTGACCAGGTGACTGTGCCTGCATGTCTCCATTAATATTGCAACACTGCTATTAGCAATTAGGCAAGAGTCCACAACAGCGGGAAGTTTCTCTAGTAGGCACACCGTCTGTCACACGCCCCAGGAAAGTACTAAAGATTCTTGTTGCATCCAGCTAGCAGCTCTATCAGTTATTCTCTCGCTACTTCACTTCCAAGTAACAGCAAAAGGAAGGAGAGATAGGGCACCATTTCTCAATATTATGTTTGAAGAGACACCGCAATGGCCTGCATGCACAATCACTATTTTCTTAGCTTGGAGGTTACGTCCTTGTCTCTTGCACTGTGCGGCACACACTAGGGCAATTGCTAAATTGTAACAATACAACTGGGGAAGACAGAACCAGATTTGCTACTGAAATTATCTTCCTTCACAGGTTTTCATTATGGCATCTGGATTTTAATAAGAGTTCAACACTCAAAATTCCCCCACAAGCCTTTTGGAAAAGAGCCATAAACTAAGACATAGGAAAGTTACAGACAAAGTCTGAGCCTCCTTCCACCACTCTGACTAGAGATTTAAAGCAAGTACTAAATGCCGACATTTTAAGCTGTGAGAAGTACATCTGATAAAGAAATCAAGCTAAGACAGTGATGAAAATCTATCAGTCAGCCAACAAAAGGTTTGTAAATACCCTCTTACACAGTCACATCTCAAGAGCTCTAAAAACTTTTATCCTTCTTACCTCCATATACCTCTGATGTAGAGGCCAGCAGCAGCCGTGCTCCAACACGTTTGGCTAACCCTAAATTTTGAGCAGGGAAAGAAAAACATAATTAGATCAAGTTCAAGAATCTTTCAGTCACATTAACTGCTTTAGTGTGATCCCATTTTACAAAGAGAATTTGATTTCTCTCACTAGATAAATCTAGCTGTAAATCACATACCTAGCTCCCACTCCCAAGCTGGAAGACTTGAGAAATAGCAGAGCAGCACCCACATGTGTGATGTGTTTGGTTCTGGGACTAAAAGTTACATTGAACTAAGATCCAAGAACTTAATATATTACACCTTAAATAAAGGCCAAGGAAGCATAAACTATTCCAGCTATGAAATCAGGATCTTGAAACAACACACCATCTTATGATTACCAAAACTTAAAGATAAGCTACATAAAGAAACTGATACAGAATAACATGTCATAGGCCAAAACCAATCATTTTCCCTTTATTGTGTTCCTTTAAACAGCCTGGATGATCCCACAAATCACTCGAGATTACTCTGCACTCCATTTCAATGACTTTGCAGCCTTCAAGTTGGCATGGCCAATCAAAGAAATCTCTCATCTATGCTGTACAACTGTCTGGTACCTCAATAGCTTCTAAATCACTTAATTCTCTGAATTGTACTCAATAGAGTATCACTCAAATGAGAAACTCAGCTGAGCTAATGCCCAGTGGTTTTTTTGACTCCTAATAACTCTTAGGATCACTGACACCCAGCTCAAGCTGCAGCATATGCCAAATGGATCAAAGATGAGAGGAAAAAGCAGTGAAAGCTTGAGGCCTTCTTTTCATAGGCCCATTCCCAGCATCAAAACTAATAGACAAAGCTGAAAATGTTGCCTTGTAATTGCCTAGCATGAAGCTAGACATTAAACGTTCTTGCAGAATTTGCTAGCCAAGGCACGCACAAGCGAGTGCAGCGCTCTTGCTGTTCAGGGTTTCCAGAGCCAACGCAGTCGCACCCAGTTCAACATCTGCTGTGATGGAAAGGACCAGTCACTCATGGCAAATGTAGGAATGTTCCACAGTCACCAAAGTGAGAAGTGCAGTCATGGACACAACTCTGCTATAAAAATCCCATGCTCTTAATTGTTCCTATGACTTCTATAATTACTGCACAGTTACTACTCCATAGCAAAGTTACAGTCATGAAGTTCTTGTGCTTTAATAGCTGAGCTTGCATGTTGCCAGAGTTCATCTGTAGGTATATTTAAAGGAAAAATATAAAAATCTTCGAAGAGGGGAAACCCCGCCCCTTTATTTTTCTTAAAGAATCAACTTTTTAAAATGTTCAACTCATCTGCTCCATCCTCCTCTCCCTCCAGTAACTCTGTCCACGTTATATTATGTCTAACAAAGTTAAGTAAGACAAAAGATTTCCACTTACCCAGCATATTTAATGTCCCAATAGTGTTGGTCTTTAATGTTTTTATAGGATTATACATGTAATTTGGAGGAGAAGCAGGAGATGCTAGATGATAGATCTGATCCACTACAGAAAACCAGAGAGGGGGGAAAGAAAGCATTATTATTTTCCCATGTAACATATTAAATGAGAAAACATTAGGGTCAATAAACAGGTACTTCTTTCTGCATTTCCTAACATTGGAACTCAGCACTTCCTATGTTGCTACCTGCAGATAACATACACGTATGCAAACCTGTTGTAACCCAAAGCAAGACTTACTTTTTAGTAAAACAAAACCTAAAGCATAGCATATATCAATACTATTGACACATATACAGAAGTCTGTCTGGGTGTTGACATTTTTCACTTGTAAAAATTTTAGTTATGAGTACTTCAGAGATGTTTAGAAGCTGCAAAAGTATATGCAACATTCTATGACCCTCAAGTTTTTAAGTGACTACCAGCTTTAGAGTATTTTTCTCAAATGGAATCCCAAGCAAAGATGGAAAAAACATTTTTTAATATCGGGAGGAACCTTTTGGGAAAAATAAATATTGTATTTTTATTTGTAAGCCACTTGACAATGAAATATTAATGGGATCAGTATCACATTTATATTTTAAATATATATGCCAAGACATGGGCATGCAACTTTTGTCCTTTTCCCCTATCTATTGCCTTTGCTCCACTGGTGTTCTATGCTGCACTTTGGATAATACAGCATTTTAGCTTTATCAAAAAAACCCAAACAATGACTCCCCCTCAAATACAGAGATTCCAGGCTCCCCAGTTATGAAATATAGTTAACTAACACACTAGACCATACCTTGCAATCAACGAAGGTATACTGATACCTAACCTAATTTGAAATAAGGTAGCTTGGGTACTGGCAACAGATTGCCCAGGTAGTGCAAGCCCCAATATTAACTAATTAAATTTGCTGCATTTCTGTGATTGCGGTGTAAACAAACCTAAAGATTCAAATCAAACATATTCTGCACAATAGCAAAATAGAGCCTAGTACAGAAAAACTAAACAGTTACACCATTGGCATGAGTATAGGCTAGGGACCGTGTGAACCTCATGAAGTTCAACAAGGTCAAGTGCAAAGTCCTGCACCTGGGTCGGGGCAATCCGACAGGCTGGGGGATGAAGGGATTGAAAGCAGCTCTGCTGAGAAGGACTTGGGGGTACCAGTGGATGAAAAACTGAATATGAGCCAGCAACGTGCACTCGCAGCCCAGAAAGCCAACCGTATCCTGGCTTGCATCAAAAGTGTGGCCGGCAGGCCGAGCGGAGCGATGCTCTCCCTCTACTCCACTCTGGTGAGACCCCACCTGGAGTGCTGTGTCCAGGTCTGGGGCCCCTGGCATAAGAAAGACATGGACCTGCTCGAGCGAGTCCAGAGGAGGGCCACGAAGATGATCAGTGGGCTGGAGCACCTCCCATATGAGGACAGACTGAGAGAGCTGGGGTTGTTTATAGCCTAGAGAAGAGAAGGCTCAGGGGAGACCTTATAGCAGCCTTCCAGTACTTAAAGGTGGCCCTACAGGAGAGATGGGGAGGGACTGTATCAAGGAGTGTAGTGATAGGATGAGGGGTAACAGTTTTAAACTGAAAGAGGGTAGATTTATATTAGATATTAGGAAGAAATTCTTCACTGTGATGGTGGCGAGTAACTGGAAGAGGTTTCCCAGGAAGTTGTGGATGCCCCCTCCCTGGAAGTGTTCAAGGCCAGGTTGGATGAGGCTTTGAGCAACCTGATCTAGTGGAAGATGTCCCTGCCCATGGCAGGCAGGTTAGAACTAAACCGTCTTTTAAGATATCTTCCAGTGCAAACCATTCTATGATTTTTAATTTAACAATTATTCCTAGCACAAGAGAACAGAGAGAGAAAAGAGAATAAAGGCTGTAACAGATTTTAAGTTCAAAGGCCAAATATATCATCAATCAGGACTTCCTTCTCTCTCCAACTTCTTCTACTTTGGTTTACTTCTACCTTAAGCTAAATGAATTGTGCTTTGCTGTCTGTTCACCCAGTAGTCAGGCTTACTTGTTTATTTTCAGCTATTTACCCATTTTCATAAAATGGTCTATTTCCAGAACAAGCATGGCAGTCATTTCTATCAAGGTAGTTCAGAAGACACGTGTAGGTATCATAAATGGTATTCGATACAAGGAAAACAAGCATACAGGACTTCACTCAACTTTGGTTTTGTAACAGGCCATCGGGAAAGTTGCTATCTCTGTACTTCAGAACTTCAAAGAGCACAGCTCACCCCAGCAAATTTAAAAAACTGAAAAAACCACAATAAGCTGTGCAGTACACCAGAATCAGTCTTAAATACAAAACCTAAAAGAATACCAAGATATTAGTTGATTAACATTGGTAATCATGAAAATCTTAGGCAAATTCTAATTTGAGACCAGCTTCAGCAAATCAGGGTTGCAAAATGCATTGCACGAGAATACAAAGGATGGAGGTACTACAGGGAAAAAAGACTTTTTTAGTAAATTATAATAAAAACAAACCAATAAAAACCAGACTCATTTTCACAAGCAGTATCTGATAGTCAACAAAGCTCAACCTGCAAGCCTTTCATAACACAACTATTACAAATACAAGAATGTCTTTCTGTCTTCCATGTAACAGGAATCACAGAACTACTTAAAAAAAAGAACATGGATAAGCGAATGCCAAAAAAAAAATTAAATGTAAGATCAAATAAGAGAAAGTGATGCTTAAGAAAGAAAAAGAACAAATCCCTTACCAAGGCCATCCAAGAAAAGTAGCCAAAAGGTGATGTAAGAATTAGAATAGCAGGATGGAAGAAGGGAAAGTAATTCCTTCTTTGTGTTACAAAAGGAAAGTTTGTTTTTTTAAGAAGACTCAGCACTGAGACCTGAAAGAACCTGGAAAAGTCAAGGCTAACTGCTATTCTGACAGTAGACAATTTTGCACGGTATAAGGCTGTCTTGCCCTAGAACAGAACACTATTGGTCAAATGGCACACTCAAACATTTTTCTTTTAACTATTTTCTCAGGTTAATTAATTATAATTAACAAGCAGTAGCGAATGACAGCAATATAAAATAAAGCTGTATTTTGACATTGTCTTGATTACTGTTGGCCCTCTGTTGGGTTTAACTTTAACAGTATCTGTGACGTAATGAATTTTTTTTCTCCAGTTTTAAATTAATTCTTCTACCAAAACCAGGGTAGAAGCATCCTTGACTTTCACATTAAAAAAAGAAAATAAAATCCAAACTTGCCCCAATTTTTCTTTTTCTCCATTTGAATACAACTATACTTGCTTAAACAGCACAGGCTGTATCTGAGGTACAACTAGTAAGAAAAAAATATGAAATATGAAGTTACCACCTACTCTCAAATAGCTGAGAACACTGAAATGTTAGAGGAATGTGTTTCTTGTTGAAGACTTCCCTTCTTCCCTGATTCCCAAATCTCATTTGACAAAGCAAGCACACAATCCTTTGCTTCCTGACCTCTCTCTAATGTAAAAAAAAGCAGAGTGGTTAGGGTGACAGTGTATGTAAGTGGCTTCATTTATCCATGTGGAATGTACCTGTTTCTTTTCAACAATCCTTTAACCAATGAAAAAAAATTAAAACTAGTTAAAAGCCTTCAAAGCACAAGCATCTCTTCATATTAAAGCATTACATCCTTTTTAACATAAGCACATGTTCTAATAATAAAGCTTTAAAAATACTGGCAAAATTGTCAAGGTAAAATATTTAACCTACTTTCTTTCTGAATCCTTAGTGAATTGTGCTTGCACATACAGTCACATTTTTCTAGATTAACTGCTGTTTTTAAGTCTACTGGGCAAGCTCATAGATCCTGTGAGTGCATACTGGCCCATCTGTAGGAGGAATGTCAAAGTTTACCCTCTGCTGCTTCTTTTCATTATTGCTCCAACACAAGAAACCCTGCAAAATAATTTATGATTAAATTTTATTCACTGCTTAAGCTTACAATGTCAATAGTGACCAAATAAGGAGAAATTATTTAAAGTCAAACCTCATCACACAGAACAATTAACTATCAGCATAAACACAAGATCAGCTTCTAAGGCAATGTGCATGACTCCATCACCCTCAAGTTTTACCATCTTGACAGAGTAATGATATTTGACAGTCAGTATGCTCAAGCAGATGCAACAAAATATATCTACTTCTTACATGTTGCCATCTCTCTTTGGTCTGCAGCAGTTAATCTCTAGAGCAGAGATGACCAGCTGCCTACAAGATGTCAAAACAGCCCAAAAAGCTAGAGATACCATTTTGGCACGTGTCTGACATTGGTGAGGACTTATTCTCACATAAAAAAGTGCAGAGAAATACAATTTCATGTAGCAGACTGCTCTGCTATTTGCTCTCAGATCAACAGAAACTGGTGTTTCCATTCACTGTCAACTCCAGTGAGGTATCAAAAGAGCTTTTCACAAAAGGCAACCTATAGTAGCAACACATTTAGTATCCAAAGATGATCTGACACAGTGAGCGCTAAAGGAAGCGAGCTCCCAGCTCAGACTCAATTCAAAGCCCTGCCCCCATTGCTAATGCAACTGCAACTTTTAGGATTCTGTCTGCAACATGAAAATAGTTAATTGTTCTGTGTGAAGAAGTGTGACGTGGAATAATTTCTCCTTATTTTGGTCACTGTTGACATTGTAAGCTTCGGTAACGAATAAAACTCAATCAAATTATTTTGCAGGATTTCTTGTGTTGGCGCAATAATGCAAACATGTAGCATGGGGTGAAGTTTTAATTGGTCTGTTGAACTTTGACACGCCTCCTACAGATGAGCCATGAATATGAATGAAATACATGACTGCCTCAAGTTATGCCCTTGAACGTAAGCATCCCCTTCCCACAGCATGGTACTCTCATGAAACCAAAGAAAAGGGGTGGACTGGAAGCCAACGAAAGAAACGTTCAGAGAAGCCGCTGACTGCTGCCTGCAGGCAGCAGGTAATTCAAGCACCGTGGCTCAGAAAAATGAACAAAGTAATAGCTAAAGCCACCTGCAGCCAATGCAGAGTTGAACTCTGACCTGAGTT